TCGATTACCATCGGTAACTAAACCAAAAGGCCAGAACACACATGCACGCGCACACACACAGGGTTCAACAGGAAGCTGCAGATTGGGCTGCTGTGATGAACTACAGCCATCAGCAGCAAGCTGCTCAGCCTGAAGTAATTACATAATTCAATCGAGCTGATTCAGGGCTGCAAACAACACGTGGAAACATCCCAAAGAAAATTCCCAGAATCCAAGTAGGAGCTGTTCTCTGTGACCATTCCCAAAACAAACAGCAACCAGGTTGTCATCAGAGAAAACCAACAGTGAGGCTGAGTGCTCAGGGCAGCTTATCAGAAGGATAAGGTTCTGGACTTTCAAAAACGAACTGATAAACTCTTAGAGTGGATCTGGAAATCCATCCAGATATTCCTGGAAGAGTTGTTGTGTTGGTGCTCACAGATAAACAATCAAAGGTGATTCTGAGCAGGTAAATCCAATCAGAGTCGGCCGTATCGGCTTCCTGAGCGGCGGCACCGGCATTAAGGAGGTCTGTGTAATGACCAGTGGCCCTCCTAAGCTTCTCAAACCCGGTGAGCATATCAAACATGACCCCACCTGCTGCTTCACCTGACACCGCAACGACTCAGAGAGAAAGCAGTTTTATTCTCCAGCAACCACCAAACTGGGCTCCAGCGATGGCCCATCTGTGCAGTGCTCCTGATCAATCAGCATACATTAGCCGGCCTAACAGTCAAGTCTAAAACACGCTAAAAACGCTCAAATTCATTGATGCTTGGAGCAGCAGGAAGTTATTTTAGGCTTCAGTGATTCAACAGGAACCAGAGTTCACAACCCAACGCTGCCCGTTTGGAGACACAACTCCTAATAGCTTCATTACTTCCTGTTTCATCATGAAGAAATGATAACGACATTGAACTTAATAATTTTATTCATCTACTGTGTAATAAGCAGGTCTTATAAAACAGTAGATGTTGGTGAGGAGCAGTGTCTCTCAGACTCATGAGCCTTCTGCAGATGAAAAGTTCTGTTTAAATCTAACCGGATAATTTCATTGATGGCTAAAGTGGGCAATAACAACTTTTTAAGGTGCCATCAAAAACTCCAAAAATAAAACAAAAGCAGAAGTAAAGAAAGACACTATCCACCACCATTTTAATATTATTAATATTGTTTCCTGATTGATAATAATAATAATAACCATGTGGTTATACACTGTGAAATCGCCAGAATCATAGCATAACATAACTAAATAATTTGTGAAATTAAATGGCAGAACATTTCAAATATAAACTACACCAAGCTAAGCACTAATGATACAATAAAAAACTAAAATATAAATGAAAAAAAATCCAAAATAAAGATGAACTGAATTATAAAACGTAAAAAATAAAATAAAAATATTTTCATTAAATTATAATAAATTAAATTCAATTGATAGGTCTTTAAATGTGGGGTGTGTGTGCAGGGGTTCGGAGAGCCTGTGATGCTGAGCAGGAGGTTGCCTCCGGGCTCGGATGGGCTCGTCTCGGGGGTGTTTGTTCTGCAGAGCGGTGAAGCACCAGCTGCTGCCTCTCTGAGAGCTCTGAACACCGCAGAGAAAAACCGCAGCAGCAGAACGTGGCTCAGTCCTCCACACAAACCTCAATTTCAAACTCATTTTCCATAAACACACACAGCGGGGCAGATTCGGGGGCGGGGGGTTGACGAGGCCAGTTTATTCACCCCTGAACCATTACGAGGCCAGCTGCCTGCCGCACACGGGGCGGTGTATACCCGCGGACAGGATCCAGGTATCCGCGGCGTCGTGCGGACTTTCCGCGTGAACCCAAGCATCGAGCGTGGCTTGACGGCGGGCTCTCACACCGCACACCTACATCTGGAGCTCAGGGCTGCTAAGCTAAAAGGCTAAGTTGTTAGCTGCCGCGGCATCGATTAGCGGGCTGATTGATTGGCCGGACTGCCTGTTTCCCCCTGCCTGGTGGAAGAGGCGTTAAAGCGGGCAGCTCGGGGAGAAATCACCGCTAACTGCGGCTCTGACATCCAGCTGCTCACATTTAGCGAAGCCATTAGCCCCGACACCCGTCAACTTCCTGCCCCAGGAACGCGCTCTAAAGCCGGACAATCACGTACCTTTGACGGGCCGCTCCGTGGTGGAGAGTTTGCTCTGGTCTTTGGCCGACATGCTCCCTCCCTGCGGGCTGCGGGCCGGAAAACAGGAGAAATTCCGAACTAAACTGGACCGATTCTTCCTGAGGAGCTAGCAGGCTAGCTGGAGCGAGCTAGCCGCGCTAGCTGGTGGTGGGGCTGGGAGCGGCGGCGGCAGCGCGTCCCTCCGCGTATAGGGCAAGCGAACCGAGTCGAGCTGGAGTCAGACCTGACCAGGGTAGGGAAGAGGGAGCGAGGGCGTCCGTTTCACCGACAAACCGGAGCCTCTCCGCTCTGCCCTACTCCTCTCTGCGATGCGGTGATGCCGACCCGCGGTCCAGGCAGGAAGCGGCCCGGGCAGCAGCGCCGATCTCTGGCTTCAGCAGCACCGAGCGGCGCGGCGGATCATGTCTCGGCTTTATCCCGTTATTCTCGGACAAGGTGCATCTGTTCCAGGCCGCTGCGCTTCAGTTTTTTCCTGTCGTGATCCGATGTGTCGCCCAGACCCTCTGTCGGATTACAATAATCCGCCGCAAGCGGATTTCCTACAACATGGCTCAGCGCGGGCGGGGGGTTGTGGGTAATGTAGTATTAAAGCGGTATGAATGCGCCTCCTTCAGAGCCCACTCAGCGCGTGCACCGCACTGTCAATGGAAAATAACTGCATAAATAAAAACTCTGCTGTCTACGGTGTGAATAGATAAAGTAAAAATACACAATGTACGGAAAATAATAATAATCTCTAATAAAAGTACGGATAAAAAATTACAGATACATTAATAAAAAAATACACCCTACGGAAAAATTTAAGAAATAAAATTAAATAATAAACACACTATGGAAAATAAAAAAGTTTGAGTAAAAAATAATATTAAATAAACACTGTCTGTGGGGCAAAATAAATTAAAATGCAATGTCTTTGGGATAAAATTAAAAATAAACAAATGAAAAAAGGGGGAAAATTAATTAAAATAAGCGTAATATAAAATAAGGAGCCCGAGCCGAAAAGTTTCTCTGACACTGTCTTGGAAAAATGTTTAATTACATACACTGTTTACGAAGAAAAATATTATCCTTAAAAACCACAGTTTCATTGTGACAAAAATAATATTAGTCTTTAACAAACAGTGAACTCTAAAGAATGGTTTCTTGGTGTTTATTCTAAACTTCGTTCTCAACGTTTAAAGTTTTCATTCTCATTTCAATAAAATAAAGCGAAAAACAAGGAAGTGTCTGATTTAAACGCACTCACAGTAATACTTAAAAGTGCTGCGATTACATGCTGTTACACGCTGAATATGATAGCACACTCAGCAGATCTGAAATACGTCACAAAGAGCCACGTGTGCTTCACTGTCACCTGTTGTTGGATAAAAACATTTAAAATTGTTGGATCTTTTTTTTTAAATTAAGTTCGGCACCTGCTCTGCAGCACGGTCTTATTTTCCTCACGATGACGATGAAGAGGCCACCTGGTTTCTGACGTCACGTGCTGTATTTGTTGGATGGATTTTGCGCAGCACAGAGCTGAAGCCAAACACCACAGCGCCTCCGTGTGGTCACTGTAGGTAATGCCAGCAGTGACCACACGGCGTCCCTTAATGAGCTGAAGGTCTCAGGGCAGGACGTCTCAGGTGATCCTGAGCTTCACACTCACACTGAGAGCGTCCGGCACCGGTTCACTGGTTTTAAAAAAACGGAGTTCTGAATGCTGTGATAAATAAAACATGTATTATTGAATTATTACACAGAGCTGTGAATAGCTCTCAGTCTGTCCAGGGCCAGAAGTCACTCAGTTTCATCACAGAGTTTGATGAGATTTTTCACCTGAAACTCAAAATAAAATCAAACATCAGACACCTTCCTGCGTCTGATGTTTGACTCAAAATAGAAACACTTGTTGGGCCTCCTGAGAACCGAGCTTTCACCGAGCGCTTTCCATGTAAGGGGAACTTTGCAGGACCAAAGGCTCCCACCTCAACCCCCACAGGGCTGGTCAGTTCAGATTATCACTGTGTGGCATCTGCATCCCGGACAGCTGCTGTATATAAAGCCTCTGACCCCAAATCATCAGACTCACTGAGAGCAGCATCAGAGTTGATGAGCAGAGATGGTAGGTGTTCTCTCACAGCCCATGGTTATGCTTTTTATACAAATCCCAATTTGAAATGTTACCAATGAAGCTAAACGCTCAGAGACCTAACAGAGCGAACCGGATTCCTCTGTGTAATACAGTTAATACACTGTATTCTAGATGGTAAACAGTAGTACAATAAAGTTACACTACTCTACACCATCTACAATACAGCACAGAATTATACTACTGTGTATCTACTATAATATAGTTATATTTAAATATGATCTACTAATACATTTATAAACTTCTGTACACCATCTAGAATACAGTACAGAGTCCTGCTGGTGGCCATCGCTCTGAGGTGTTTCACCCTGCAAATACACTCTTATTTTTATTTCAGCAGTCGCTGAAACAGGTCGGTGCCTGCAGCGTGTATCAAAATGTTCGATCCCGACGACAAAGGCTTCATCCACAAAGAGTTCTCACGCCAACGTCTCCTTATTCAGGCCGTGATAGAAAGTGAAAACACTGAGCGAATGAAAGTGTAAAAATGAAAAGGACTCGCTTTGGAAATGTTTAGTGACAGGCGTGACATCGATACCTGTGTGTCTGTAGATGAAGCAGATGTTTCAGTCATCAAACATAAACGCAACCAGAAACCTGGACTACAAATCCTTGTGTTACGTCGTCACTCACGGCGAGGAGCAGGACAAATGAAAAAGGAAATGTGATGTTTGTCTTTATCTTGCATCAAATAAAAGTTCAAACATTAAACTCTGAATCTAGTGTCCTTTAATAAGCTGAAGGTCTCAGAGCAGGGCCTCTCAGGCGTCCTGAGCTTCACAGTCACACTGAGAGCGTCGGACACTGGTTCATTAGTTTTATTAGAGTCCAATTTAAAATCAGCAGAGAACAGAAAGATTTCATGAAATAAATATTTAATTAGCAGAGTTCACACTAAAGTTTATAGATATATTATTATATATATATATTACACATTTATATTTTCAGTGTAAAATATCTGTTATAAAGATGTATACATCTGGTTAAAGTTTCAAAACCTTTTTCTAGTTTTACTGAAGTTTTTATGAACAGACTGGATAAAGATGATGGAGGACGCTACTGCAGTTCCCAGTCTGACCTGATGGTGACAGCACTGTCTCCCCGCTGCTTAAACTCTGACACATTTGCTGTCATGATAACGTGAAGCTGCAGCATCAGGAGGACGTGCTCCAGCCTGCTGATGACGATGATGGCGAAGAGGCGGCGTCAGCATTGTGCTTTTTGATTAATTAGATCATTAGACGTCCTCACTGATGACACGCTGAAACACGGTCGTATCAAAAATATTTTTGGTTTCTGAAAATTGTTATGAAAAAAACATTTAAGTATCTTATTCCATATTGTTCCATATCCATCATCCTCATCAACCTTGAAGTTCACATTATTAGGGGTGTGGCCTCTGTGACTGACGAGCGGGTGGAGACATAGATGGAGATGTTTGGTCATGAGTGAGAATCAATAAACTCATTATCAGAAAGTGGAAGTATTGTCTAAAAATCTGACACTGAGGCGTCCACGGTGTGAGGAAACAGCACCTCTCCGTGTGATGTCATCAGCTGCACGCCGGAGCTTGGGCGTCTGGGAGGACGAAGAAGGCAAGCGAGTAGGCAGGAAGCTGCAGGTGGCGAGCCGGCAGGAGAAGTTTTCCTTTGAGTTCAGGCAGCGTTTTATCGTCCACCATCATCAACACCTCGCCGTTCAGCTTCACTGACCTGCAGAAACAGGAAATGAGCTCATCAAGCGAACCGCCACACAACGAGTCAAACACAAAGATTACTGAGATATTAATCTTTGCCCATTTCTGCATAACTCATCCTGTTTATGATCCTCGGGTGTTAGGGTTGTGTGCGCCCCCTTGTGGTCGGACCGCAGCAGTGCGGGGTGTCATTGGCAGAGTTACCCTTCTCCGGGTTTATGCCTGTATCATTTTCCACCACAGCTTATGAGTCAGATCATGACGCCGTAAGAGGAGGATTTAGGATGGGGCTACTTTGAGATTGGTCGGTTAAATCAGGTAAAGCTTTTGATTTTTATGTAGTTGTTCTCAGAAAGCCTCCTGCAGCTGAGGTGCTGTGGAGCGGTGGACGGGAGTCAGACTGTCGATTCATGCTGACCAGTTTTGACTCATGGCGGTGACCTTTGAACTCTTTTGAAGCACGCCGCTGAGCCCAAACTATGAGGCCATTGTTCGTCCTCCGTCAGCACAGCTGAGATAAAAGCCTGAGAGAGAGTTACACATCAACGGCATCGGTCCTCGACCTGCTGCTGTCTGCATCAGCTGATTCGCTCTCAGGTGGCATTAAATCACCATGACAACAGCTTTCTGTCCGGCACGCTGAAGCAGAGCAAAGCCACAGATCAAAAGCATCAAAAGGTCAACCTCAGCAGCTCTCATAGGACTCGATAAACACCTGAATCTGAGCGTCACAAGACTGAAGCCAGCGTCTGATTCACTGTCGCCCCTGTTTTTGCTTTCATGAGTAAAATAAAATTTTAAAGGATTTAAAAAGTAGCTTTCAGGAAGTGTTGAGGCTCACTTCTGTAGAGAAATGTGAGCTGGTCTTCAGGTTTCTACACCAACCAGCCATCACAGCTGAAACACAGACGGCATCCCTGCTGATGGTAAAAACTGCAGGTTTCACTGGATGCTGAGGCGATATGATCCGCTGATGCTTCCTCAGCATCAAAACATTTGCTGGATTCTTCTTCATTTTTGAGCTTAGACCGTTTCACCGTCACTGAGTTCAGGAGATCCAGATGTTTCAGAGACTCAGATTCATAAGAACAAAAACAGAAAATGTAAATTTAAAAAGAGAAAAGACATCAGCTCCATGCTTTTATTTTCTGACTCCAGCACAGCAGCTCTGCATGATTCAGAGCTCAGCCCTTGTCTGAAACAAGGCTGGCTTTACGCCACTTTTCTTCTGTTTGGCTCTCCCTCTCACACAGTAGCCGACGGGGCTTCAGTCCCTGAGATGACATCATTCAGATCAAAGAGTAGAAAATACTGTAATAATGAGTGTTCGACCTGCGGGTATCACTACACACACGGAGCTTATTATTCGTAACTTTATCGTGAACCTCCAGCACAGGAAGAGCGGAGACAGGACAGGAAGTGAGGAGAGGCAGAACAGGTCGACTATAATGACCTGAACGTGTCTTCTTAGGCTTGCAGAGTTTGGGCCGTCTGACACACAGAGCGGTGTATCATCAGCACATAAAACATCTGCAATGGGCCAATCCTGATGTTCAGGTAGAATCAGGTGTTCATTTACAGATTTTGACCTGTTGCTTCTTCACCGTGTGTATTTCACTAAAAATGGGGGCGGGGCTTATTATCTAAGGTTCACTGTACTTCTGCAGAGCCGGGAATATTTAGTGAAAAACAACTGTCTTCTTTGGGGTCGAAGCAGATTTCTAACTAGGAGGAAAATGGCTTCATTGAGTACGTTCAGGCACCTGGAGTAGAGTCCCTCCTCCCCGGGCTGCTCAGACTCCAGGACAAAAGCCTCCACTGTGCTGTTGGAGAAGACGGCGGGCACCGAGATCCTTGCTGGCGTCTTCCCAAGGTTCATTGACATCAGCGTGACCGCTCCACGTCTGTAGCTGCAGACACGCAAAACAGCAGCATTATTACTCAGCTTGACTTCCACTTCACCTCAAACAACACAGAACGAAGCATGAGCTTCGTTTCTACTCACACGAAGCAAAACATGCGCAGAAATTATGTTTAGTTATCAAGGAAATCTCTAGGAAATTACTACTGGTGTCAGTGTACACAGCAAGAAATAAAAAGCTTTTTTCCTCCTATAAACACTTTTAGTTTGAAGATGTTTGTTCCTGAGCTGAAGTAAAAGACATTCAGGTTTTCAGAAACTGAGATATTAATCTTTGCCCATTTCTGCATAATTCAGAATTCAGGTTTGAGATGAGTTTTGAATAACGCTTTAAGAATTTCAATCTTTTCTTATTTTAAGATTTAAGAAAAATTTTTTCTGTTTCTGTTTCCAGACGTTTTTGCTGGTTTATAGGAAAAATAAACCTTAAAGATCCAAAGCTCAGCTGATTCATTAAAAGGACAGTTCACTTTCAAAATTCTTTCCTCTGGCTTGTAGTGAGTCTGAGCAGCTCCATGTAGAAACTATTTTGTTGTACAGGACATTGCTTGAAGGGAGCTGTAGCAGCTGTTAACCATTTATCTGTTACTTCTAACTGCTAATACCTTACATCATTACCGTGAGCTAGCTATTTCTAGCTATTTCAGACCACTGCAGAGACAGCTGTTTAGACAGCTGTATAAACAGCTGGACGGGCCGGAAGAAAATCCCGTCCACCTGATGTGGCAGAGTTACTGGTGGTGGGAGGTCTCGGTGTTTGTGTGAGGGCAGGATGTGAAGCGTACCTCTTCCTGTTGGTGCAGTGCAGATACATCCTCACTCGTTTACTTCGGCCAAACTCAGAAAGCACTTGAATCTTTAAAACCTCCGGTCCAACCAGCCTCTTGTAGAGAACAGACAGCCAATAATCCTGAAAGAGGACACGACCTTTACTGGACAACGACAAACTGTGAAGATCTGGAAATGCATCGAGCACATAAACTAACAGCAGCTTATTTCAGCCACGTTAACGCTCAGTATTACTGTGAAGGTCCTGATTTGATCAGATTAACATACATTTTCTGACAAATGATCAGTTAATGAACTCACTGAGTCTGTGCTAAACATGTCCGTTTAGGTTTTTAATTAATTTGATGTCCCAAAGTGGACAAAATTAACCCCTTAAGCCCCAACGCCCCCTGATACAGGGGCAAAAGGCAGGAGATCAGTTAGGCTTGGGGCTTAAGAGGTTAAGCAATAACATCCAATCTGAGTGTAGGAAGAAGGAACTCTTAAAACGATTTTGCACAGGTAAAAAACATGAAAGCGTAGCTGGAATACTTAAGAGAATTAACCTGACTCTGTCTTACAGGAAGAGGATCCAGGTTGTCGTCCACCAGGTGGTAACTCCCAGAGCCGATGAGCACCTGCCTCATCACGATATCCAGGCCGAGTGCTGCTCCCAGGCCTAATTTATCCAGCCACCTGCACAGATTCCCAGCATGGAGACATCTCAGCAGCAACTCAGAGATATTTGAGAGTGTTTCAGAGATGCTGAGAGCAGAAATGTTCATCCACAGAAAAACACATTCAGCAGAATAAAAATCGTTTACTGAAAGAAAGAAATCAGTCTGAAAAACACCAACGAGGTCCAGAGGTCTAGAAGACTACGAGGAAATGGTCTCTGAGCTCATGCCTGAATGCCTTCATGATGGCTTTATGTTTCTGGTCTGACTGAAGGTCTGACTGAAGGTCTGGCTGAATACAACACGACGTTCATGATGTTCAGAGAGAAGACTAAAGCAGGGCAGACATGAGGGACTCACATGAATCCTGCGACGAACGTGTCTGACAGTCCTGCAGCTCCTCCTCCGTACGCCGAGCTTGTCTCTCCGAGCCAAACCGACTTTCCCGGAGACGCCAGCTTCACTTTCTGAGCCGGATGAGAAGAAACAAACCCGGTGAAACTCCGAACACACCCAGCACAGAGCTGCTGGCACACAGCACAGCGTTACCTTCATGACTTCATTGGTCTTTAAGGCCAGTGAGTCCAGGACTTCAGGATCCAGGAAGTCCTTCACAGACGTGTCTCTGCCGTTCACGTAATAACTGACAAACAGCAGAGCAAGTTTATTTTATGAGTTATGAATGAAGCATTCACAGCAGTAAAGCAGCATGAAGGCTTGGGAATAAAAGAACAGTTTTTCAGGCCGAGGTGTCACTGATATCCTTTAAAATTAAATCAGGTGTGCCTCAGGGCTCGAGTTTAGGACCACTGCTGGTCTCAACCAGTGCTCAGCTGTTTGTGAATGATGTGATCATTGTTAAGCCTAATTTATCACCCAAACTAACTGTCAGTGTGGATGATGAATAATAATCTTATCTTGACTTAAATCTCTTCTTGTCTGATTATGATTCAGAATTTTGGACTTTCTGAAGAAAGTATTGATGCTTTATGACCAACTTTCAACTTAAAAAGTCCAAAACTATTTTCTGAATTTATGGTTTAATAAATTCAAAATTAGGAGACTTCAAACAAACATTTGGAGACAGATTTATGTTGGTTTTGTTGTCTTTATGGGAGCATACAGACACTTTATATCCACTGAATGTCGGTTGGACTAAAAATATTAGAATTTTGTTAAGTTTTAATAACTTTGACATTCTGTTTCCTTGCAACAAGATTTGTGTTACAAATGCTAAATAATTTGTTCTGAACAGTCTCTGACTGATATGTACATTTGCAGTTTCACAATAAAAGCATGGGAAAAGTATCTCACTGTCAGTAGGAGTGCATAAACTTTTAATTACCTCCGATGGACGGAGAAGCTTTCAGGCTGTAAATGACTGTAAATGTGACATTTTTCACATTTACAGTTAAAATGCAAAGTTTTTATGCACGTCGCTTGTGACTGCATGCATTATGTTGTGAGAGTAGACTTAACTCAGAAATTACATTTCAGAGTAAATAAAGTGAGGGTGAACTCACTGGTGCCAGGTACAGGCGTCGATGGCCTCGGCTCCGGTCTGCAGGAATCTGCAACAGTCACAAGAATTCATGGATAAATCGGCAGCGTCGGCTCAGTAATTAAGTTGTTTTCTGTCTTATTCCTGCAGACTGAAGCTCACATGTGACTCTGTAACTCAGTTAGAGCACAAAAATTAGCTGCTTCCCTTTAATAAAAAGTTTTAGGTTTCTCTACATCGTTGGTATCTGAGAGACGTTAAAACATCACATCAGATCAAAAAGCTGAAAACTTCAGAATCTGTCAGCTCATGACAGACGAGGAGCAGAGTGAATAAAATTCCTGAAAACAGAGAGAAATAAAGTAAAAAACGTTCATTTTTTATTATGTGTCTTGTTTTCAAAAATTCGTAACGCAAAATTTCATGTGAGGAAAAAAATTCATTGAAAAAAAAATGTAATTTTCCCCCCAAACATTTTATGCTCTTTTGTGTTGACAGCAGAAACTTTTCATGAGCTGTCTCTGTACAGTGACCTTTGACCTCTCACCCGTCCAGTAAGTCTACGTGGTGGTTTCTCGGCTGGCCAACGTCCGGCCCGTACAGCCCAGCATCTTGGTACAGTTTGGACTCTGACATCATCTTCCTGAGACGAATGAAGTCCAGCCCGAGCTGATGCCCATCCACCCGGATCCCGGCCTTCTTCTCGAAGCTGTTTGGCTCTGATTAGAGATCACTTTGATTAGAGATCATGTAAAGAAGAAAGGTGACTTCCTGTCTGTGCGTCACGCCACATGAAGGCGAGGAAGTGAAACTGAAACATTGGATAAGAAACCGCAGCGTTTCAGCATTATGCCAGATATTATCACTGAAAGCAGAATAAAGAAGAAGAAGGAGCCTGAGAAGATTTTACACTAACAGTGTCAGCCTGTTACTGATGCTCTGATTTACGGGTTTGATCAGGTGGTAGGAAACACACATCACTAGCTGCATTTCAAAATAAAAGGCAGAATAAAGTCTGCAGGCCTAAATAAGCAGGTCACAGACTCAAGCTGATTGAGGCTCTGTGATTATTGATTATCAGCTGATCAGAGAAGGAGTCGTACCGTTTCCGAGCTCCCAGGACATCCCATAATGTCTGGACTGGCAGTACTGCAGCAGCAGGGCAGCATTGCTGTTGTTCCAGCTGTTGTCAGCAGTCCTCAGCAGAGCATTCAGGCCGAAGATGAGCTGGAAGCCAGAGCAGTTGGCGAAGGCATGCAGCTGGTCCACGGTGAGCTCTGAGAGGGAGACGACAGTCAGAGGACAGGTGGCATCTCCATGGCAACGCCTGGCAGACATCAGGACTCACCTGTGAAGAAGAAGCTCCTGTATGTACCCAGCAGGTCCTCCTTCATCAGGACCAGCTTCTGCTTCGCCCAGTCGCACTTCAGACGCTCCTCCATCCACGGGGGTAGGAAAGTCTGGTCACATGACTCACCTGGGAGTTTCAACGGTCACAGAGAGGTCAGGAAGTCAGAGACTCACATTTCAACTATTTAAAAGTTTCAACACTTAAAAACTGAATAAGAAGAAAAAGTCTCCAACCTGAACTTAGACTAAAAACAAAAGAATCACATGACACATTAAAAAAATCATTTCCTGTAAATAAAACAAAGAAATCAACATGTTCCAGATCAGTGTGATGTCAGAGAGGTCACAAGGTGATCGTGTTTACCTGCAGCGTCCTGAGGCTCCTCCCACTGTTGCCTCCTGTGAGGCTCAAACACCATGAAGTCCTGCCGCGTCCCCCCAAATCGCAGGAAGGCCGGACTCAGAGCTGCTGCAAGCGTCCTCATCCTCCGAGAGCTGCAGAGAAACCTCAGAGTCACTCCCATGATGCACTGCTGCACTGACAGCAGTACGCAGTTCACATTAAAGAATGCTCGGAAATATTCGCGGGTCAAAGCACCGAAAACTGCTGGTTTTAAACGACCCCAGCTCTGTTTCACTTTGATCTTTGATCTGAAATCTAAGTTTTGAAATTATTTTGTTGTCACAACTCCTGAAGGGTTACGAAGAATAACTCTGATGTCATAGTTTTTAAGTTGGTCAACCGTTTTGACTACAAACATGTGACTTTAACTTGATTTCCTTTCCTGGTTTTGAGACTTTGGAAATGATTTTACTCATGACCTCTGACCTCTGGTTTCCACATGCAGAGATCTGTGCTGATTATCTCACATCCATCATGTTACTGAAACAGAAGGGATTTTGGAGCTCGAGTTTATTCCCGGAGCACAAACGTGTCGGATTCACAGAGAAACATGAATCTAAGTTTGGCTGTCGAGATTCAAAGTTCAAATTTACAGCAGTTTTATTTCAGATGATCAGGTTACTCGGGTTATTCTCAGATCTAAGAGTGTTTGTGGTTCTCGGGTGTGCTCCTGCTTAAACAGGAACTCTGGGAATTCCCATGCGGACTCTGGAAACAGAAGTGAAACCTGGATTGACTCAGGATCACCTTACTTCTCAATCCTTTAAAGATTTTAAAATCAGGTTCAGATTTTTTTTTTTTCCAAACTTGAACTGCAGGTGATACTCACCTGGTCTGAGACTGCGGGAGGCGGAGCTAACAGGTTTCAGGTGAACTGACTCAGGATCAGATTTGAAAGTGAAACAAAAGTTTGAAAGTTTTGATCCTTAGAGTTTTTGATTTTGTGACCTCTGACCTCCCGTCTGTTTTAACCCGGTGTTTCCTGTTTAACGGGACAATCGTCGGTGGATTAGAGTCAGAGCTCACCTCAGTAGCCACACGAAGCTCTCCTGTGAAGCCAGACTCGCGTCGATGGTCACGGACAGAAAGCGCGGATCCACGCGTCGCAGAGGGGCCGACACGTCCACGCCCAAACCCAGACCGGGGTCCCGGTCCGGCTCCCCGGGGGGTCCATCAGGGAGCCGGGATCCTCCGGTTCCGGTTACCAGAGTCCCGGTGCAGCAGAGCGTGCACAGCAGCAGCGCGAGCCTCATGTCTGTCACACTTCCTGTTTCGCGTCCTCGTGCGCGCACACAGAACGACCGGGACCTCAAATCAGGAACTTATATGCAGGTCCAACATTTCAGCAGGAATCACGAGAGACGACACTCCATCAATCGATCAGTGATCAATGAAACTAATATTCACGTGGCCGCCAGAGACATTGATGAATACACAGACTCAGTCTGTGGATTTATCAGGAAATGCGTGGAAGATGTCGTCCCATCCAGAACAGT